CTGACATCCCTAATCATTGTCCAACTCTCTGAAGCATAGCAAGTCTTTGGGAAGACCATGGCCTGGATTAGGCATACACCTTTGTATCCAGACTGACAGCGTTGCTCCTCAGCATTCTGGAGAGGTCCATGACAGCAGATTTTCCCAGTGCAATTTGTCTTTTTATTTCCTGACTGCTGATGTTAATTAAGAGCATTGATTGTGGATCCAAGCAAGCTGTAATTGCTAACAACCTCAATCTCTTCTCCATCTATCATGGGGCTCAGTGGTGAGAATCTTTGTCTTCTTGACGTTGAGCCTCAATCCATGTTGAAGACTATAGCCCTTGACCTTTAGCAGCAAGTGCTTCAGGTCTTCTTCAGTTTCAGCAAGCAAGGTTGTGTCATCTGCATTTCGCAGGTTATTGAGTCTTCCTCCAATCTTGATGTCACACTCCTCATAAAGCCCTGCTTCCCAAATGATCTGTTCTGCATACAGACTGAAAAGGTATGGAGACAAGATGCATCCCTGATGCATTCCTTCCCTGATTTTGAACCATTGCAGTGTTTCTATGCTCTATTCTGAGGACTGCTTCTTGGCCCATGTATAGGTTTCGCATAAGCACAATCAAATGTTCTGAGATTCTCATTTTCCTCAAGGTTAACCACAATTTATTGTGATCCACACAGTCAAATGCCTTTTCATAGTCAATGAAACACAGATAGACATTCTTCTGGTACTCTCTGTTTTCTGCCAAGAGCCATCTGACATTGGCAATAATGTCTCTAGTGCCACGACCTCTTCTAAAACCCAGCTTGTATTTCTGGTAGTTCTCTGTCAATGTACTGTCCAAGTCTTTTCTAGATAATCTTCAGCAGAATTTTGCTACTGTGTACTGTGTGATATTAGTTATATTGTTCAATAATGTCCATACTCTGATGGGTCACCTTTTTTTAAAATGGGAATAAATATGGATCTCTCTCTAAATTGCACAATAGTTACAAAAACTGTATATTTCTGACTCTTCCTCTCTCTAGTTTCTCACACACACACACACATGTAAAATGGTTCTGAAAGGAGTATGCTGATGTAAAGAGAACTTTCACTTTTTAGTGAATAAAGTTCTGTATGAATTTAAATATTTTACAATGAGAATTTATTACTTGTGAAATTTTAAAAAGTCTTTCAATATTATTCACACTAATGAAAGACTCTCAGAAACAGAAAGAACAGAGCTATGAAGATCACAAGAGAGAATCAGCGATTCTTGATTTTTATGACTCTTGGCTTTTGCCCTCTCTGAGGTCAGAACATAGACTTCCAAACACACATTCTTTACAAAACCCTCACAGGCTCCTCACTGTACAATCGAATAGTAAACAGTATTCATATGATAGAATTGTAAATAAGAACTAACACATAATGAGTGTTTAATATATTGCAGGCCCTGAGCTAAGCACCTTAAACCTTCTCAGTAGCCCCATGAGATAGTGCTGTTATTCATTTCCTAAATAAGGAAATAAAGGCTAAGTGAGATTATGGGATCATCCAAGGTGACACAGCTGGAAAGAAGTGAGGTCTCAGTCATTGGATGATGGATTGCTGAAGCGGATTGGAGCCTTGGGTGAAATCCCAGCCTTGTCACTTATGTGACTTTGGGCAAGTCACTTTGCTTCGCTAAATCTCATTTTCTATAACTATAAAACAGTAGGAATGATTCTGACTCTGCTGTCTTTCCTAGCTGTTGTGAAGTCCTATAAGGAAATTAGCTATAAAACAGCTTCATTGGTAGTAAAGTTCTGGGACTCATGAGACCTGTTAATAGTGCTATTCTCATTATCTACAAAGCCCAGGGACTGAGTGAATTTCACCTACACCATAGCAAATTGTTCCAACTGTCTGGGAGATGTGGAGTCCCATAGGAGAGTCAAATTAAGGGAGAGAGTGCCAGGAGACCTGGCTGCAAGGAGGGTCTTTAAGGTTTAATGGGCTATGGTTCAGCTTCTACCTAGCTCTTCCCACCAAACTCAAGTGTAGAGACTCTACAGAAGATATCAAGGTGGACCAGGCTTAGCAGGTGAGCTGGGCTGGTGATGCAGAACCTAGAAGCACATCAAGACTAGTATGAGAAGACAGACTTAGGGAGGTCAGGGGCAAGAACAGCCATGGTGGGCACCTGGGAATACACAGATGATGTGAAAGGCAATGTCCTTGCATCCAAATTAATTAGCTGTGCAAACCCAGTTGTGTGACCTTGGGCTCAGCACTCTAGCAAGTTAGACAGGGATGTGAAGCAAGCAGGAAGAAGATGATCTTGAAAGAGAGTTTCTCATGAGAAAGTAAAGCTGATGGCAGTAAGAGAGGTGGAAACTTTTAATGAGGTCTCAGTCAATACTGGAAGAGTCAGAGTTTGGGTGATTTCAGTTCAGAGGGAAGGGACTTACCCAAGATAGAAGGGGGAGGATTGAGTAGGAGCCCAGGCTCTATGACTCCAAAATCAATGAGCCCAAACTTCTTAGATCCTATTACTTTTTAAGGAAATAGGGTACAGTGATGGGAATAACAGAAGAAAATTAGTATGGGTTGAAATTGTAAGACTTATATGACATAATGAATGTAAAGAATCAAGAAAACAAAAGTAGTTTAATAACTGGGGACACCATTTCTCTCTTTGGAGACGCATGAACCATGTAACCTCTATCTCTAACTACTCACTGCCACACAGAGGGCACTAGAAAATACTTATTGATGTAGAGTAGATCCAGTCTCCCAAAGCCTTATTTTACAAATGGGAAGATAGAGGTTCAGAAGCCCAAAGTCGAACAGCAGGGGAGAGGCAGAGTTGCTCCAGGAAGCACCTCTGGGGAGCTTTGCCCTTTAGGCTGGAGATCAATCAGTCTTTTGCAGCAAGGCAGCTTGAGAAGGACCTCTTCCTATTTCCCAGTCTCCTTCTGTGACCGTGTTTCTTCGTTTATTGAAGGGGTGTAGCCATATCCTTTTAAGAGTTATATGAGAAGAAGAGATGAGATACTGAAAGCTCAGCTTAAGGTTAGAAGTTACTTGTTTTCCTTCATTCTGTCTCCCCCAGAAGCACTATAACTGGTATACAAAGACACCCAACAGGGAAAACATGGCTGAGGAAAGGATGTCTTTATAATACCTTTATTGGTCCTATGTGTTGAAGACAGTATGTATCCAAAAAGAAATCCTTATCATATTGACAAGGAAAACCCAGTGTGATCATAGTGACGTCTTTTTGCATGTTTAGTAATTTTCATCATGAGCTGATATATTTCTTATAGAGCTATAGAGTTAACATAGTTCACTAGATAGACTTCTTTTCTTCTGACAGAAGAGGGTGGTGACGGTCCGGTCACCACAAGCCAATCAGAAGCTGAGTTAGTTTTTAGTCTGAATTTTATTTGTTCCTGTTCATTAGATCTAAGGGAGCTCTGTGGCTGTGGTCCAGGGTGAGATGCACTGCTAAAACAAACAATGCCCATCAGTGGCTTGACAGGAGAATGGGCAGTCTCCTCGCATTTAGAAACCCAGGGGAAGATGGCTGAGTCAGAACTGACTCGACAGCAGTGAGTTTGAGTTCCTAAAGCTAGAGCCCCTGTGAACTTTGGATTGACAGCCTGACTGACCCTTGTCTCCTCACCCTGAAAGACCGTGAGAGATTTGCCTCTATCCTTTACACACACAGACCTTCAAAATTTGGAGAATATTTTAATGAGAAGACCACTGTGTGTTTGTGGCAAGTCTTCTTTCTTTCTATCCTCTTAAGTATAATGGGGCCATTGTTGTTGTTGTGTACCATTGAGTCAGAACTAAACCATAGCTGACCCTCCAGTAAATTTTCAAAAGCAGTAAATCGCATGGAAGACTGCCCATCTTTCTCCTGGAGAGCAGTTAGTGGATTCAAACCATGTGCCTTCAGGTTAGCTTTGCATTTCCTTACCACTAAGCCAAAGTTGTGCTCCCTTAATGGGATCATAGGAGATTTTATTCTCCCTATTAGAAGCTTCCCAGCCCAGCTCCCAGCCTTAGGAGTGTATTCCTAGAATTCAGACAATGTCCCATGGGGAAAACGTGTTATGCATGCATTTAGACTTTGAGTTTTCAAACTATTTTGCAAACACTTTTGATTTCTGTTTCTCTCATCCATGTCTCTGCCTGAGCCAAACCCAAGCCACCTGATGACCTCTAGATCAGCAGTCTTAGAGAAGAAGAGTCCGTGATTGTTTGTTCACTTTAGAGGCCTCTTTTACTCTGGTTTTCTATTTGGTCACATGTTTATTACTCCCATGATTCTCCAATTTCTTTTAAAATGTGATTTTATAAATGACCCAGGTTTTTCTAGCTGCCGAAATGGAACTCTTTGATTACCATGACCATTCTGCTCAGGAGCAAAAGTCCAGGCACCCAATTTAAACAGAGTCAAGAAGAACCCTCGTGGCTCCAGGCATACCCGAAAGAAGATTAAGAAGTGGCATGTTGCAGAGAACCGTGGGAGCAAGCAGCCCTTTCAAAACAAAGAGGTGGAACTTTGAGTAAGTATAGAGATAAGTGTTTAAAGACTTGATTGAAGATATCTGATCTTTCAAACTAGAAAGCATGAGGCCTATGATGAAGACCTGCAGAAAGCCTCCCATTGCATTATTCCAGAATAAACTATTTTAATCTGCCTTTCTCAGTAAAATATAAGCTCTAATGCAGTAAAAATATGCCTGCCTTCTTCACTTCATCACTGTACCGCTTAAACATGGAATGTCTTTAATTTGGTCTGTGGCCCATTAGCATTTGACAAAAGAAGAAAATTAGGAACTCCGGATTCACATGCTAGAAGTCAACACCACGGTCCTCTAGAGCTGGTTGTAAATATTTATGGTTATATTCCTTATGCAGTCAACATTACTGAATTTTAACTCTAAAATCCTTGACTTCCAATGGTTTCCAGATGGTGCTAGTGCTCAGATATCCCAGCTCCCCAGTTCCCAGCTCTCTAGCTCTATCTCGCCATGGAGGTCACAACCTGTAATGGATCAGTAGATGCCTCACCAGTCTTCTACTTGGTGGGCATTCCCTCCCTGCCAGAGTCTTTCTTCCTCCCTGTGTTTTTTCTTTTCCTTCTCTTCTACCTCCTCATCCTGGTGGGCAATGCTCTGATCGTTGTGGCTGTGACAGCAGAGCCCAGCCTCCACAAACCCATGTATTTTTTCCTTCTCAACCTCTCTGCCTTGGACATCCTCTTCACCACAACCACTGTTCCAAAGATGTTGTCCCTGTTCCTGCTTGGGGACCACTTCCTCAGCTTTCCTTCCTGCTTATTACAGATGTACCTTTTCCAAAGCTTCACATGTTCAGAAGCCTTCATCCTCGTGGTCATGGCCTATGACCGCTATGTGGCTATCTGCCGCCCACTGCACTACCCCGTCCACATGACCCCACAGACCAATGCTGCCCTGGCAGCCAGTGCCTGGCTCACTGCTCTTCTCCTGCCTGTCCCAGCAGTAGTGAAGACCTCTCAGATGGCATATAGCAAGATTGCACACATCTACCACTGCTTCTGTGATCATCTGTCTCTTGTCCAGGCCTCCTGCTCAGATACCGCCCCCCAGACCCTGATGGGCTTCTGCATCGCTATGGTTGTGTCTTTTCTTCCCCTTCTCCTGGTCCTTCTCTCTTATGCCCATATCCTGATCTCAGTACTTCGCATCAACTCCCGAGAAGGACGCTCGAAAGCCTTCTCCACCTGCAGTTCCCACCTCCTGGTGGTTGGCACCTACTACACATCCATTGCCATAGCCTATGTGTCCTACAGGGCTGACCTGCCCCTCGACTTCCACATCATGGGCAATGTAGTGTATTCTATACTCACGCCAATCCTCAATCCTCTGATTTACACCCTGCGTAACAAGGATGTCAAAGCAGCTATCACCAAAGTCATATGTCTTAAGACCCAGGCTGAGATAAGAGCTTGACTTTTAGATGGAAATAAATAGACTCCTTTGCCACCAATTAAAGTGTTTAACAGAATAAGAACTCAATAAAATCTTTATGTGAACAAATTAATTTATACCTAGGCCTCATTGCCTCAAGTGATAACTGACTCATAACTGAGTTTTCTGAGGCCGTAAATTGCATGAGAAGAGATTGCTTTCTCCCAGGAAGTAATTGATGGATTTGAACCACATGCCTTTGGGTTAACAGTGCAACTGCCTATCTACTAGACCACTTGGAATTCCCTAGTAAGGGTTTCAAAAATTCAGTTAGACAGTTGTTCTCATCCTTTGGTTCAGAAATTTCCCATTAATACAATGAAAAAAGTTACTCTTTAAAGGAAATAAAATGTTGTCATGTAGCAATTTCCTATTTAGCAATGCTAGAAATCTAGTCATTTTAAAAAAATATATATGGGGTAAAAGCCACAAAACAACCCTTATGAGCAAATCCAAGATATAAATTTAAAATGATACCACAGAGAAATGGCCAATATTCCCAATGTATAAAAATATCATGATTTGAGGAAGAAGATTAACACTCCTACATGACAAAGGAAAAATATATGAACAGATAGAACTCCCTTATCCCCCCGTGCAATGGTTTTTAAACTGTAAAAATTATCCAGTATACCATATAAAATAATGCAAATTAAAACTACACTGAAATGCCATTTCTCATCTAAACAGATAGATAAAAATTCAGCAGTCTGAGACATGCCCATAGGCAAACAGAATTCTCACACTCTGCTAGTAAGGGTGCAAGTTGATGCAACAATTTTGCAACAAAAATCAAAAGTAAATCTACTCTTTGGCCCAAGAATTTTGTTTCCAGGACTCTATTCCACTGGTAATAATTTCTTATACTTTTTACTTATCAATAGCTGCTGGTTAAAGGAACTATAAAAATGCATGCTGGAGCTATAAAAAGATGAAGGAAGCTCTTTGCACAGTGATGGGTGTCATCTCTAGGCCCTAATAAGGGCTTGTTGAGAAAAAGCAGGTTGCAGAACACTGTTTTAGAAGAAAGAACGATAATTTGTTTGAAATTTCAGAAAAAAGTAGAAAAACGAAACTCCCAAATTAATAGAGAAGGTAAAGGGAAGAGAGCAAATCAATTGGAGGATAGAGAAACAGGAGTAATTAAAATGAACCTTCTGGCTTTAGATGCATGTAATGCTTACATAATTAAGAGAACTCAACAAGCAAGCCACATGAGATCAAAAGTGCAGCATTTGCCCGGGGATAAAGGGAAGAGGTGGGATAGAAGGACAAATGGGAACAGAAAACACGAAGAAGTAGGAAGAGCACAAGAACCATGTGGGACTGGAATCAATGTCATCAAAAAGCATCTTAATGAATTGTTGAACAGAAAGTGAATTTGTTCTGTAAATTCACCATAAAAAGGACAAATAATAAATGACTTAATTTATATAAAAAGGTAAGAATAAGGAAATAATAGATACTAAAGTTTATTACTTGGAAGCAGGAGTGGTATCTATTTCCTAAACAACATGCCTCAGGAAACTCTATGAACTTTGATAAATGTTGATATTTGTAGAGGGGCTTCCGGCCTTTTGTTCATAGGGTCGTTATGAGTCATGCTCAACTTGAAGGCAATCAACAGCAAAGTTGATTAATGGTTACCACTGGCAGAAGGGAGGGGAAAGTAGTACTAACAATTATTAAAAAGTCACATTTATTAGTTGCTGGTAATATGTTGTATACCTGTAAAATGTTGAATTGGCAAAAGTTGTATAATATTCTTACAGTTCCAAAAAGGAAAAATAAAGGGAAAAAATAAGGGGGGGAAGGTTGAAACAAATATTTAAAATAAATCAAGAAGGGGGGGAAATGAAAACTTCCCTCAAATTTAAAATAAATAAAAATATTTTTCTTATCAAGTTTATGACATGATAACACAAAAATTACAATAAGTGACTTTATAACAATGTTTCAAGTGCTTAAAATAATGCACTGAGAGCCTAGATTATAAAGGAAAAAAGTCAGAGAGATATCTTAAACATCATTGAAGAGCCTTTTCTCTTAAAATAAATCTTTTCGTTTTACTTCTATAAAGTGGATTAAAAATACATTACACATTTCTATAACCAGAGTCATTATTTAACATTTTTCCAGTTTTTTGACTAATGTTCCTTTTCTGCTCCAGGATCCAATCCAAGATACCAATTGCACTTAGTCATCATGTCTCCTTACCTGCCTGGCTGTTTCTTGGTCTTTCCTTGTCTTTCATGACCTTGACACTGTTGAAGATTGTTTTGCAAGTAGTTTGTGAAATTTCTTCATTATAGAATGTCTGAAATTTCTTATCAACATGTGTTACTTCTTTCTGGTTTCTTTTGGTTTAATTAAATGTGTTTTTTCAAATTTCTTGAAATAAGAGTCTAGATTATTGATCATCAACTTTAACTCTCATCATCCTGTAAATTTCCTTCTAGGTGCTGTTAGCTGTATCTTAAAAAAATTGTTATGTCATATCTTCATTATATTCTACTTTAAAATATTTTTAAATTCCCATTGTGATTTCTTCGGTCATCCATTTAAAGGAGATTTTTTGTGTTGCATTGTTTCCAGACGCAAGCAGCTTTCTGTCACATATCTGTCTTTTACTTCTAGGTTATTACCACTGTACTGAAACAACACACTTTGTATAATTTTAATGCTTTCAAAGTTATCTTAATTGGTATTAAGATTCATTATAAGGTCTAATTTGGTAAATAGTTCATGTGCATTTTGGGATGCAGAAGAATATTATGCAGTATTGAAGTTTTATTTTCTATATATGTTAATTAAATATGTAAATTTTTATTAGATATTCTATACCTTGCAAATAGCTTGTCTGTTTATTCTATCAATAAATTTGCTATGTTTTAAAATATCTAATTATGGTTGTGGATTTGTTTCACCTTTTAGTGTTGTGAAATTTTTATTATGTGATTTGACTTGTTTCTAATTTCTTAAATGCATGTGTGTGTAGAATTTCTTCATCCTTCTATTTAATTGGCCTTTTATTATTGTGAAATCTCTTGCCTTATATTTTATATTATTTTTATTATAATGAAATTATAATTACTTTTTCTGGTCATTATTAATATTGTATATGTTTTTTTCATCATTTTAATTTCTAACAGTTTGTATGTAGTAAAAATATTTACATTGCAGACAATATATATCTTTGAATTTCCAAAAATCCCCTTTGACATTATTTGTCTTCTGGCTGGACTGCTTGTTTTGGATTGTTATCCTTTTAATGCAAAATTTAAAAATTATATCCTTTAATTTATTACAGCTAACCTAAATTAGCACTTAAATAATTTCCCAAATAATGTAAAGGCCCCAAACTGTATACATTTTATATGCCTGTTATGATTTGTGCTAATTATTGT